CTGGTAGCAATACTTTTCCACTGTGTAATTAGAATACTAATAGAGCAAGAGGCTTTAAGGTATACGTTCATCAAATGTGGTTTTTTTGTTGGGTAATGTAATTGTTCTGAGCGGAAATGTTAATCAGCTCTGGAAGATATATGTGTAAGAGTTTATTAGTTTATTGCTGTCCGTCTAAACTACTCGGCTCGGATGAAAATTTTACCATGTGGATCAACAACATTTTTCTTTTGGTTCGTCTCATCTCTTCCAAGAGGATCATGGGTAGGCCAATTATGGCCCTTGTAACCATCAAAATAATAATAGGTGCTGTTCCAATACCCACTCGAATAGAGCATCGGCCCATAGCTGGTTTTTTCTGAAAATTTGGAAGGTGCCAGAGATGATTTGCTAGAGTCAACCACGTATTTGATGATCGTACAGTTCATATCACCTTCCCGCCAATCAACCAAGCTGCCACGTCCCGGATTACACACCAGCCAGTTGTTTATGTTGCTCTTGATGAGGATCTGTCTGCCGAGTTGTTTCCAGAGAGAAAAGTTCAAGGCGTTGAAGTCTGTTTCATTTAAAAGAGGATTTGTAGAGACAGGAACATCCACTTTGGCCTTAACCAGCCAATTTGGTCTTGAAGTGATTGCATTTGAACTATCATTGAAATGACTGTAGTTGGTAAAGGAATAGCTCCATACTAGTGTCCAGCCTCCGCCATAAGTATCCATATCACAGTATGCCTTGAAAGCGTTGGCCTGGGAACCACCATCTGGATCAATCCAATAGACACCCGAGGAAGTAGTGGGAGATTGGTTATGAAGAGTCTGACACGAGGTTTCTGCTGAATTCTGATTAGAACCAAGGGGTGGAGAAGTGTTTTGTTCTATAACGCTAAAGATAAAGAACTAGACCAACAACGTTATAATGGATTATGGAGGAGGGCTAGAAAATGGTTGACACCAAAAGCGGTGGAAATTATTAACTTAGAAAATATAAAACTCGAAAAGGCTTGAGTATATCACGGTGGAGAACAGAATATCAACTGATATTCTCTAGTAGTGGATGAGGACTTGTCCGATTAAATATAACAATTTACGTTAGCCATGGTGCCTAGAAACATTAATTTGTAGCTCTTACCTGGGTGGGGACCGCTTATTTCTGGGGGGTTGACCTGTATTGGAGTTAAGTAATACGTCTCAGTTAATATCCTGACTTCATGCTATGTCCATGCATATATAAGGAACTATTAACTNCTCTAAAACCTCAAAGTTAATCAATGAGAATAAAAAACAAACAAATTTACAAAACGTATCCTATAGAACATACCGACAACCATCTTTTATTATTCATGTTTCAGGCTATATGGCATTTCCGACTGTATATTAGAACAATGAATATTTTTAACCGAGGTTTAAGAAAAGGATTGTGAAACCTGTATTGAAACACAATCAGGTGACAGAAGGAATAAAATTGAAAACAAAAATGGCATGACATTGCTAAAAATATGTGGCTCTCAAAGATTTGTTCCAATTCTTTTTGATCGCCCCAAAGAAAGAAAGAAATTCCCGAGATACCTTTTCTACATAGAAAGAACCTTCTCGCTTTACCACTCTCTCGACTTTGCTTGCTCGTCGTCCTTCACCAAGAAAAAAACAGGTGCCTTCATTCGCCAAGAAATTTGCACCTTTACAAGTAACTTCTCTTCCACACATTTGAGCACAGGTCAAAATAGAATCAGCCTTTTCACTTTGAAGAGCATTTTCATCATCGAGAAAAGCGTTTTCTTCCATGCGAAAGAAAGTACCCTTTTCATCTTTTGCGGATGTTCTTGGTGTTAACAAGAAAACGAATGTGAGAGCAAATACGTACATCCCAAGGCGATATCTGCAAAAAAATAAAAATAAAATGCATGATATCATACGAAGACAAATTTCAAAGTCAGAGAGCGTTGTTGGAGTATCGTTGTATTACAAGACTTTTGAGGGGAAATCACTCACAAATTTGAGAGCCACCAGATCTACGGTAAAGGTAACATTGGAAGCAGATCAGTTTGCTCTTGATGATTTTATTGAGTTCTGTTTGTCAAACAAAAACATGCGTAATGCCTTCGAGTACAACATTACCAAGCAGAATTCTTTGCTCTGCTTAATTTATTGATACGATAGTTGTGTCCTATCTAGGGTTAAAGTATGGATGTGCCATTTGTTTTAAAACAAGAAGCTGAAGTGTTTGAGGTTCAGAACTCATGATTAAAAACATCGCAAAATTGTTAAATAGCTCGGTTTTCATCTGAATTTTTTTATGAAATAAGTCAAAGAAAACAATCATAAAACGCTGAAAAAAGGAAGATAAACTACTGGAATGATATTCCAGTGTCAAACTGACACAAATAGCAAAAACACTCAAATTGGTTTTAGAGAGGTCCTGACATATCAATTGGGATTTACAAAAGTTTTGCAGTATGAGTGATAGTAAACACTGTGGTTTTAACCTGAAATGCACGATCAATTATTTTTTACTGGCATTTCCGAGATAAAGCCAAAAGGCACCCTGTTTTACAAAATAAAAAGGGGAGAAATTCAAGTGTCTTGGAACTGAATTCATCCTTTTGAGCCACGCCGTATATTATATTGCAACTCCTTTACTGAGTTATCTTGTTCTTTCTATTATGTACTACCTGTTCCTTTATCATTTACTTTTTCGCTTCCACTACAAATATAGAAAAACCTGTTAATAATTGATGCAAGAATTGATCCAGATTTCTATAAATCCATTTTAGTAACAGCCAGTTTAATAAGGTTCACTTACCTTTTGTTTTGTTTTGTGTTTTTTTTTCGTTTTTTTTTTTAGTGTTTTATTGGTCGTTTTGGGACGGAAAATAATCCGAAAGTGAGACTCATGATCGATATCGCAATTCATCTGTGTGATACGCTAAATGAAGAAATGACATATCCTTATTTAGACCCAAACCCTGAAAACCTACCCTATGGAAGGTATCAAATATCAAAAGTAATCACAAGGTTCAATCAGACCTAAGGTTGGCATTATCATCAGCCAATGAGAGCTCAAAGGGAAAATATGTACACTGAAAATCGCGGGAAAACACATGTGGCCAGATGACGACTGACTTCATTTTGCGTCAGATTGGTTACGAGGGTGGCACAAGTGTTGTAAACCGATCACAGTGTGTAAAAAGTATTGCAAAACCAAAGCAATCCCAGATTGATTTCGACGATCAACTGAAATGTCTGTAGCTGAGTGTAAAAATTCCAATTTAGTGGTTATCATGAGTAAGTAAACATTAGCGGTAAAAACAGTGATATTTTAAACATCGAGAACTTAAATATTTATTCTACAACAAAAAGAAAAAAAAAAGAAACATACAAAAGAAATGAAAAAAAAAGACATTCCAAGTCTCTGATATATCGACTAAAACCACCTAAATTCAGAGTTTCGCGAACTGATTTGAATTATCAAAAATTCGGGTGGAAAATGAAGATTCTGAAACATGATCCGGCGTCTCTACACAATGAGAANGAACGCTACCCTATAAGCCTTGAGCTTATAACTTCATTACTTTTCGTCATTGTTTGCCAAGTATTTCGTGCGAAAAAATTTTAACTTAACATAAATTATTGAATTGAAGATCTGTGTGTAAGAGCTTATTAATTTTATTGCTGTCTGTCTTTGCTACATGGCTCGAATGAAAATGTTACCATGTGGATCAACAACATCTTTCTTTTGGTTGGCCCTATTTCTTCCAAAAGGATCATGGATGGGCCAATTTCTGCCCGTGTAACCATCAAAATGATAATAGGTGCTCCTCCAGTACCCACTCAGATAGAGTATCGGCCCATGGTTGGTTTTTCCTGAAAACTTTGAAGGCGCCGGAGATGATTCACTAGGGTCAGCCACGTTTTTGATGATCGTACAGTTGATATTACCTTCCTGCCAATCAACCAAGCTGCCAAGTCCCGGATGACACACCAGCCAGTTGTTTATGTTGCTCTTGATGAGGACCTGTCTGCCGAGTTGTTTCCAGAGTGAGACGTTCATGGTGTTGAAGTCTGTTTCATTTAATGGAGGATTTGTAGAGACAGAAACATCCGCTTTGGCCTTAACCAGCCAATTCGGTCTTGGAGTGCTCGCATTTGAATCATCATTGAAATTATTGTAGTTAGTAAAGGAATAGCTCCATACTAGTGTCCAGCCCCCTCCATCAGTCTCCATGTCACAGTAAGCCTTGAAAGCATTGGCCTGGGATCCGCCATCAGGATCAATCCAATAAACACCCGAGGACGTAGTAGGAGATTGGTTATGGAGAGTCTGGCACGACGTTACTGCTGAATTCTGGTCAAAACCAGGGGGCGGAGAAGTATTTTTGTCTGCAATCATAAAATTTACACAGTAGAAACAACGACTTAATCGCCGAAATTGATCCTGTAACGAATATTAGAGTTGCTGATCTAAATTCAGTTATGAACATCAAAGAAAGAGCCAATGCTAAGTCACTGAGCGGTATAAAAGGATATAGAGGTGAACAACACGGTTATGTTTACTGACATGTACTTTGATAATGATAATGATAATGATAATGATAATAATAACCAAGATTCGCCGAAAATTTTGGACATGCAACTGCAGTGCATCAGTATTAAGATTGCGTAACACGATAATTCATGCTCCTTTTTGCTAAAGAATTCGAATGGGCTAAAATATTAAACCTACTCTCTCCTTTGGATTGATTTGCTTAAATTTATATCTTCCATAGTAATATAAGTGCCCAGTTGCCTTATCACTGCTGATAGACGCGTCAACTTTTTTACAGCGTCGGGGTGATACGCATTAGAATCATCACAAAAATAAGTTAGTTTTTATTAGTGATATAGTGAAAGCAGGAGTGAAGGAGTAAGCACATACTAAAGTCCAACCTCCCCATCATTCCCCTTGTCATAGAAAGCTTTAATTGCGTTAATACTAAAAGGTGTATGATATAAATACAGTTATAGATTTATAGATTATCTGCCTAAAGATGACAGAGTCAAACAAGACTGAAAGAAGGGGAGAAAAGTTCTACTTACGTTTTTCTTCCAAAGGTAACTGAATCACTGGGCAGCCGAAACATTTCTGAACCGAAAATCGACACCACTAGGGTTAATTGTAAATTTGCTGTTTCCGTGATCTTCGTCTAAAGGTCTATTTTTCTACTTGAGTAGAGCAAAACAGCTTTGACATTTTCTTCTTAAGAGTACGTTTCCAATTACTCCACAAATCCATTTTGACATCTCAATGAAAAACACAATTCCTGCAGGTTTATGATGCAATTATCATAACGTCTACATAAACAGAATAGAGAAACACCGGAAAGGCTGCAATATGCTCTTTGATCCGACAATGAACAAACCATTAAAACTGAAATGTGTGGCTAAAATGAGGACACAAAATAGAAATTGAGAATAAAAACTCAGCGGCTTTCTATTCTATTATATATCTGGCATGAAATGACTGCTTTTCTGAGTGCAAACAGCGAAAAAGAAAAGCGCAATGGCTGTCCTGAAACAAAGTCACCATCAGACCTCGTAAATAGCAATAGTAATAAATAATAGTAATCAAGTTTTAATGTCTTAACGTGGGGCATGGTTACCCATATTGCCCGAGCCAGAGGCTCATGTATGAAACGCAAGACAACAACCCACCCATCCCACCCCAGGAGAGGAGATCCATCACACATTAATCTCGTGCGTGGGAAATTAACGTCTCCTACCCCTAACCCTGCAGGAGACGGGACCTCCATTTATTCGTCTTTATCCGAGATGACTATAATATCTAAACCATTTCTTGATGTTCTAGAAAGGCAGCATATTCTTCTTAATTACTTTAAGACCTTGAGTGTTGGTTCGGGCGGGGCTCGAACCCTCGACCTCCCGCACATCAGTCCAGCGCTCTATCAATTGAACTAACCGGGAAGCATTCAACACATATATAATACAGTAGAACAGCCTTGTCGCAGAGGTAGATATTCTTGAATATTTAAGGATGAACATTTTAAAAATGATGCTTTCAAAAACGCGAAATTTAATTTGTTAGTCATTAACAGCCCTTTCAATCTGATATTTTACTTTTATTTGTTGTATTTATCACATAAATATTATAGTAATACACGTTTTAATGATTTTTTTTCAAACTCGAACAAAGATGTTTCTATGTATTTTTTAACCTTCGATTCCTTCAAGTCGCTTTATCTAGCTATGGTCAGACGAGTAAAGTTCACTTAGTCTATACCTTTGGTTTTCTGTAAGCTGTACCATAAGCTGCTTCAAGAATTCCGATACCGCCACTCGTCCCGTTTAATACAGCAAATAAAGAAATTACCCACTTTTTTTTAAGACCTAAGAGGCTGAAACCCAAACCCTATTGAGCAGTACATATTCGAATACGTCAAATATGGATGAGGTATTAGTTGAGTGTACATACTTGAATACGTCAAATATGGATGAGGTATTAGTTGAGTGTGCAATACACCAAAAATAATCACAATGAGAAATCGTAACAGCCAACCAGAACAAAGGTTACATCATCCGATTGGCCAATAAGAACTTAAAGTGAAAAAAAGACTATGCGAAAGGCGCGGGAAAACGCTTGTGGCCAGATGAAGGTTGGTTTTGTATTGCGTCAAATTTTTTGAGAGGATGTCGAGAGTTTTGTACACCAACCACAGAGCGTGAATTAAAGGTAAACCTAAAACCTTTGAAATTAGTTCAAGATTGATTGACTGATTTCCACAAACGATTGAAAATTGCTCTAGCTAGCTGAGCGCAGCTATCAGTATCTAGTTTAGTGGTTCGCTTGAGTATTGTAAACATTAGCGGTACAAACAGTCATTTTTGAAACATAGAGAGCTTAACACTGTTCCAACAAAAAAAAAGGGAAACAAACAAATAAACATGGAAAAATAATGTCAAAAAGGAAAAGATGAAAGAAATCGCAGACATAGGGAATAAAACCTCATTAACTCAAAATCTCGCTTGGTGATTTGAATTATCAAAATTTCGATTGGAAAATAAGATTCTGAGAGATCATATAGTGTCTTAACATGATGAATGTAGCCAATGCTTTGTTTGTGTTCATCTTTTAAATGTGGATGCGGAACATGCTTGAACCTTCAGCTGTCGACGGGTATTTACACTAGTAAGTAGTGCTACATCTCATTTAAAAGAGGACGAAATAAGCCCCACGGAAAAAAAATCGTTTGTTCCCTTAAATGCATGTATTTTAAGATATTTGTTCCTTACCCTCTTCATTAAAGTGCGCGAACTAAAATTTTCTATTTGGACTCATTCACGATAATCGCGCCATAAAGAAAACATCTATTTCGATGTTGACACAACACGGATCGGATCACGGACAGTACCGCGAATGGATCACGGACAGTATCACGAATGGATCACGGACAGCATCACGAATGGATCACGGACAGCATCACGAATGGATCACGTACAGTATCATGAATGGATCATGGACTGGATCTTGGATCAAAGTGCGGATCGGATCGTGGAATAAAAAAAGGATAAAAAGAACATTATGAAATAAATAAGTTCAAAATAAGTTTCAACCTCTCGATCATAACTTTTTAGAGACATGTTTTGGCATGAGTCATGCCAACATCACTTTACTGTTGTTTGATTTATCATCTAAGGGTTTATGTCGAATTAATTTGATGGCCTGCTCCCAGTTGGCTTGTTAGCTCAATTGGTAGAGCGCTGCACTAGTATCGCAGAGGTCAGTGGTTCGAATCCCGTACAGGCCTGAAATTTTTTTCAGGTCTGATTTTCACTATTGCTCAAATAGTGCTTTACTGCGAAGGATCGTGCACATATACATCACTTTACTGTGTTGCATCCGTTGAAGTTACATGAAAATTTGAATTGATAACGTAACTTTAATGTAACGCGTAAAAACAAAGTCAAAGGATACCACGCCATAAACTGCTCATGAGTCATGTCAACACAAGACTTTAAAAAAACTATTCTCATAAGTTTGAATTTTTCTTTGATTCTATTATTTTCAAGTTAGTCTTACAGAAGCTCTGGCGTGTATTTTTCCTAGAATGTCGTACGGGGAAGCGTTAGAGCGCACCTGTTTGACTTCAGTCAGGGAACATCACGAAGACATTACAGTCTTTATTTAGATCAATCAGCGAGAATCAGAACAGTAAACTGCATTACTTAATTCCTGAAGCCCATCGCCCTTATTGTAATTTAAGCCGCCAAAGAACGTACAAAGTCACGGTACCAGCAGCCAAGACAAAGCGTTTTGCTAATTCTTTTTTCATGAAGGGTGCGGCTGTAACCAACCCAAGTTCAGATGTAATAGGACTTTGAATAGAACTTTAAGTCATCATATTTTATATTTGTATAGTAGTAGCTTGTAAACATTGTGCAATTCAGTATTTTACTCCGATGTGATTTTAATAAACCAGTCTATCAATCAGTCTATCTATCTGTCTATTTATCTATTTATCGAAGTATCAAACATGATGATGAGGACCTGTCTGCCGAGTTGTTTCCAGAGTGAGAAGTTCATGGCGTTATAGTCTGTCATTTTGAAAGGAGGAGTCGTGGAGATAGAAACATCCACTTCAATCATTAAAATGATTGTAGTTAGTAAAGGAATAGCTCCATGGTAGTTTCCAGCCTCCTCCATAGGTTTGCATGTCACAGTAAGCTTTAAAAGCGTTGGCCTCGGATCCACCATTAGGATCAATCCAATAAACACCCGAAAACATAGTGGGAGACTGCTTATGAAGAGTCTAGCTCGAAGTTACAGCTAAATGCTGGTCAGTACCAAGGGGTGGTGAAGTGTTTTGTTCTAAAATCGCAAAGTTGCACAATTAGAACAAAAAATTTATCAACGAAAGTGAGTCTAGCAACGAACGTAAGTCTAAACGTATTTGTGCACGATCCTCGCAGTAAAAAGCACTAGTTAAGCGATAGTGAAAATAGACCTAAAAACATTTAGGTCTGAATTAATTTGATGACCTGCTCCCGGTTAGCTTGTTAGCTCAATTAGGAGAGCGCTATACTAGTATCGCAGAGGTCGGTGGTTCGAATCCAGTAAAGGCCTAAATTTTTTCAGGTCTGATTTTCACTATTGCTCAAATAGTGCTCTTTACTGCGAGGATCGTGCACAAATACGTTTCTATAACCGCAGTTCAGATATATATGGATTTCATAAATTTGTTGTATTTGAAAGCAAGTCTAGTAATGAAAATTAGATCTGACGACCAAATCCGGCTAGGAACATCAAACAAAGAGCCAATACAATGTCACTGCGCAGTTTAAGAGGATATAAACCCGAACGCCCGGTTTACGTTTCCTGACATGCGCTCTAACTTG